TCCCTTTTTTAAGGAATACGAGCCTACTTGTAATTAAAGGAATGCTATATTAATGATGCTGAAAGTCTCAGAGGGAAAAATTTAATGTCCACCTCATAATATTATGCCAGAATTACATGCGCAGAAGACTTTTTAATAATCTTTGTTTCTTAATTTAGTTTTGATTGGCTATGAAATACAGAGGAGCACTCAAGGGCTCAAATTTCTACTGTCATCAGCATTTCTGCTCTATAAATTGTACAAATGCTCAGGACTCCCATCTGCAGGCTTGTTTTCAAGCTTCTGTTTACCCTATGAAGGAAATTAGCTACAGACAACTATAATTGATGATAATTTCATCATTTTTTAGCCCTTGGGATGCGGGATGGTGTTACAATTTTCTGTTTGGGTTTAGACCTAGCTTAGCTGCAAACACAGGTCGGTAACATAAATTCATCTCTAGTTTGCAAATTACAGCAATAGCCACTAGGAGTCTCCTGGTTAAATTCATGATGAATTTGCACACTAATGCTGGCTAAGGTTTGAATGCAAACTTCGTGCTAAAGGCTGGATTTCAGGAAAGTGGGCTAGTCCGTGTGCAAGGCAGGTGTGAGTGGGGCGATGGGACCCCTGAGCCGTGCGCATCATGGGGTTCCTGATGCTTGTACCAGTTGTATAGACAGCAAATGCTTTAGAAATAAAGAAACCAGAAGCCCCCCATGTGATGTTCTTGTAGGGCCAAAGATGGTGACAGTCAGAAGTCAGATTTGTTTATTTTTATGACTGGACAGAGTACTGTGGAATTGTAACAAGCGCTTACAAAGAGGGAAGTAGATTTCACCAACTGTTAGTTACTCCCAGGGATTTAAAGCAGATTTGTTTTGTAAATGGAAATGCTGCAAGCCACAAGAACTGGCACCACCAAGTACTTCAGAATTTGCTTACAGTATCTCTGCAAAGTGAACCCTGCAGTTCTGCAAATGTAAATAGCTTCTTTCTCTTCTCTCTTCTCCTTCCTCTTCCTTCCCTCTCCTCCCAGGCCAACTAAGCATAAGCGTACGGTGCCAGACACACTCTTAGCAATGCCAAGTGCTCAAAGTTCATGAATTACAGACCTGCAGGAATGGTCATACTGGCTCAAGCACTGTGGCTGTTCAGTCCAACTCTGTGACTGACAAAAGATGGCCAAATTTCCTTCAAAGAATACCACAGAAAGCAGACACGCACCTTCTGCCAGCATTTGTGCCTCACTCTAAACAACTAAAAATTGCTTTAAAACATACAGGGAAGCCAGAGGTGACCAGTCAACCCTTTCCACAGGGAGCGGGTTATCCTGGCAGGAGGAGTATTACCTGTTGTGGTAGGATGCTGTCACATCCTCCTTACAGACACATGCAACTCCACATCTATATACTGTTCACTGCTCTTAGCAGGGAACCACTTATTTGTTTATAAGTTTCTTTCATGCATCTCTTCTCTTGAACAAAATCCTTTCCAAACCATAAAAATCCTGAATGACTTTAAATATGATGAGATTTTAAACAAATAATAATTTGAAGGGCTATTTATTTGGCTTCTGCTTTTTGAGCTTCTTGGTTTCATTTCCAAACTTTTCCCTGAAACCAGAAGGACTAAGCAAATAAAGATGATGTTTTAAATGAAAGCTGAGAATTTCACATAATCATAGGACTCCAGGGGCTTGAGGTTTCAAAATAATCTCAAGAGCTGTCAGTACTGAATGTCACCAGAGACTCTAATGTTATTCTCAGAATAGACGCGTAAAAGCAACTGTGGGGTAGTTTTTCTTCTGCACGTTCCCCATAATACCTACAAATGTTTTTCAGGAGGGACAACCCAAAGGTACCTGCAAGTGGTGAGCTACCATGTGCTGGGCTTAGATACCAACTAGGAGTGGTGAATTTTGCAACAAATGTACGTATGCAAAACCCTGTTATACAATCTGTAAACTCAACAAGCTCGTTAAGTAAAAATTCATAATGAACTAGGAGGATCATCTAATTCCATGGGGAATATGCTGAAATAAGTAGGAGGTAAATTTACCTGCCCATCTCCTCTTTATTGTATGCTTGTGCATGTTGCAACACATGACTGCATTGTGTCTTATTGCAGATTATTATCATCTCCCTCTCACAGACTTCCTTAGGTTCTACCATAATTTCCCAGCAGGACTTGGATGAACCTCTCAGTCTGGTTTGTTTCAAGGACATAATCTATACTACACCAAAAGCTGACAGAGACCCAACAGCTAGTACCTGAGTCCATATAGTCTGTGGTGAACAGAAAGTTACTAAGCCTGATCCTAGAACTGACATGGAAATAAAACAGAAGGCTGCTTCAACCTCCTTCTCATCCTGCAGAAGCAGACTTGGCTGTTTGGTACCCTTGCTTATTGTTAGAATTACCAGAAAGGACCCTGACCTTCTCCAAGTCAGTGTTAACCTGATTTCAAAAACAAAACAATGGTACAGGTTTAGCAGGCAAATATTCAGTACTCACAAAACCAAGCATTTGTGTAAGTCAGTTTGGCACTTCACCATGCTGAAAAGAAACCTATGCATCTCTGTCACTTCAAGTTTGGGATTTTTTAGCACAAGAACATGCCTAACATGAAAGTACTCTTTTTTCCACTGCCCACCTTCTCCAAGTATGTCAGTGCTATCTTCTTAACTCATTTTCTAAAACTAAAAATGAACACAAAAATAAAAGATCTTCTCAAAAATGCCAAAGGCATATGTAAAAGCTCATTTTGAAGGAAACGTCCAATTTCTACATGGAGCTATAGTACAGATAGCCGTGAAGCATTTTTAGGGATGAGAGTGCTCTGCTATGGCCATGGACAGTTCCTTGGGAATATAAAATATTTCTGTCATTTTCCTAATGTTTCAAGTAAGCCAAGCCATTACCAGTGTGTATCTAAATATAGTGTGTATGTACAATATACAGCTATACTGGAAACAAATGCAAGGGTTTACAACATAGGAGTCAGTCACTCTAAACTCACGTCACTAAATACACACCCTCATGTGCGAGCTCTCTCTCCCTCTCCCCCAGTTGTTTCTCTTTCTCTACTTTTCCCGTGAAGATTGTCGTGCATCTTATGCATCTCACAGGCTTAAGCTGCGAGGGAGCTACAGCTGTAACCTCAGGTCATTCCCAAGCAAACTTTCATCCCACATCACAGCATTGATGACCTTGCGAGGTCAAACGTTTTCAGGAGGAGTTCTGGCACCATTTTTAATACTTAATCAAAATCTCTTTTGTTTAGTTGGTTCTTTTATGTTTAAAATCATTATTTTAACTAGAGAATGGACTGATAACAAAGGCCTTCAGAAACCTGAGGAATTACTTAAGAGAGGAACTGCTGCAATGTTTATCTGCACTAAAAGAAAGAAGCAAGTTTTGCTGGACAGTTTTGTTTTTTTTTTTTTCATTAAAATAACAACTTTTCATATTACATGATGAGTTCAGTAAACATCACTGAGGGCTAAATCACAGCTATTACTATTCAGAGGGAGAAAATACATTTCAAGATTAAGAAAAAAGAAAAGATGATACTATGTGGGGCACATGGCTCTTATTTGTTTCTAAACAGTGGCTGCTTGAAACTGCTTGGAGGTTTAGAGTGTCAAAGCCATGTCAGCAGAGATGGATTAGTGGGCAGAGAGCAAGTGGTGCAGTCAAAGGTTCATAGTGAATGTAATTTATTCATGTAGCTCTGCAATTTATCACGTGGCTATTACCATAATGTATGTGGGAAGCAGCTGCACGCGTCCAAATAATGCCCTAAATGGATGTGTGGTTGGATCTGAACTCCTTACAGAACAGTAGTGGTGGAAAATGATGCCACAAGGCATTTAAAAGCAAATTTCCTTCCTGCGGGGATGCTGTCACCCAGCAATGATGATTTGTACACAGGCACATAGGTATCTTGTACACTTTTCTCAGTTATCATAACCTCACTTACCAGAACTCCTTGGTTTTTCAAATCTAAATTATGTAGGTAATGTGATATAGGTTTCTGGTGCTGTATTAACAGACGAAAGTACACGTTTTGTATCTCAAACTCATATTTTCTAGTCAAAGAACACTGTATTTTCCACTCAATATTTAACAGAAATATTCAGTGGCAAATAAAATGAATCCTCTAAGTTTGTGAGGAGAAAGAAGTTGAAGATCTCCTTTAACTCAAATGACCTCTCACAGCACGATTTATCAAACACTTGGGAGCAGCACAGCTGTAAAAGATTGATATACATATATATCTGTATATATAGTGTCTGCCTGGTTTCTCATATCTGTACAATCATTTACCATGCCTAACATTTCCAAATCTGGTCTCTAATTTTAGGACCATCTAAAATAAGAAGCTTGACTTTAGTCTCTTTTAGGTTACTCAAATGCCTACAGTTCTAGCTAAGAAGAAAGCTGTGAGTAGATGGTGGAGCTGGCCCCCACTTGCAGGGGTTTTTTGCTGCATTGTCCACATGCACAGGTACAGACGTGCTCTAGCAATGCTGTCTATGGCTGTGTGGGCTAGCTGGAAAAACTTTACCAGCTCAGCTCCTACTATCACTTTTAAGCTTCAGCAATTTGAGTTCAATTGGTCTCATTGTTTGGAAACTATGCTTAATTATACCATGCTATGATGCTTTAAACTGATTGTATTGGTATCAGTTCACTCAAGTCTTTCTTGATGCAGGCAAAGACCACCCCAGCTATGGGTTAGTGCACTAGCAGTTTTATGCTGCTTTTGACACATTAAGAGTTGACCTAGAGAGACACAGAATTCAGGCAAAGTCAAGTCAGGTACTCATAAACAGAACATCTCATTGCCCAGCTTAATGTATTGCTCAGCATTTTGCTCAGCAGAACTTTTCACATTTTGGAATATGATGCAGATTTTCTTGGATAATTTCATGTGTGCTCTAGGGCTTCTATTTTGAAGCCATTTATCACAAATATACACCCACTAATTACGCAAAAGGAAAAGCTTGCCTTACCATTGCACAGAAGGTCTCAGGAGGATCTCCACATGTTATGTCTGGAGGATCCAGAGTCACTTTTACATATTTGATCATATCTCTGGCTTCTGGCTGGCAGGCCATGTAATCCCATACTTTTCCTTCTTCTGTGTAAATCTGAGTCTTACACACGTCATAGTGTCCCCACACAGAAGGGTAGTGCTGCATCATGGAGGAGACAGTAACCCAGAGGGCGTGAAGTGACAGGAATCTTGACCAATACATTTCTAAATCCTTTTATGTCACCTTTGCAAGGATGCTCAGTGCTGGCTTACGTGCGGTCTATAGATTATACGTACATACACATGTATATATTTATAAAATAGGTTCCAACTCAAACGTGAAGCATTAGGATAGGATGTTTATTTCACTATGTTAAAGACTTTGGTAGAAGCCACCCAGGCCCTGATGACAGCCTTTCACAGCAATGCAGTGCTTGTCCTTTGTCTTATAACTTATCTGTCAGGCTTCTTGTAAAAGATGTCCAATAGCAGATAATAATTTGTGAAGTTGCAGGTCTTCAGCTACACTGTCGATAACCCTGAGTGATCCTCTGTGTTCAGGGCTCGCAGGGGATGCCCAGACACACTGATAAATCAGTATCCGAAGCAAAAGGATGAGTGTCTACAGGCTGGTGTCTGTTTCCCATCAATCATTCTTTTCTTCTGGCACCAGCACCCTTTTAGAAACAATAAAAATTAGAGTTATTGTCCAAGAATCAATGCATTACAAAATATACGATATGTTGACATTTTGGAGGTTTGATACAATATAAAGCAAATTGGTATAATATGGATAACCTTTACTGTGGGTGCTGTGCTAGAATGAACAAACTACCAAAATCATTCACAGTAAAAAGTATTTTGACATGAAAGGTTTAACTCTTCTCTAACAAAGACAAATTTATAATATTCCAGGTGATTTAGAGGTTCCTGCTTCCAAAACTGTATTTTACCCTAGCAAAACAGGAGAGCAAACTACTGAACTCAACCACTGCCCAGATGGTGCAGGCAGGCAGGGAAGCAGGCAGCCCAGCACCGTGGGGCAGCAGCAGGAAGGTTCTTTTTTCAAAGTGACACAGAGTTGGGTATCAGGACTACAAGGTGCTGGTAGTTTCTTGGCCAATGAGCTCCAAAAGTCTTACGCATTTCTTAGATTTTTTTTTTTTTAAAGAATAACAAAGATATGGCAAGCACAATTCAATTTCCTTGAAATTTCTCATTTGCATTGGAAGAGTTTTGCTCCTTTTTTTTTTTCTTTGCACTGTGATTTACTGACCACACTGATGATAAACTACTGATAAGGATAATGTTTTATTTGTAGTTTATTATAAGGATATTTTCCCCCTCTTACTTTCTTAGGTTTGAGTGTGGCTGTACCTGAGTACTCAGCAATTATTTCACAACAGATATATGCCGTTTCCTCTCTTCAGAAAGGAAACAGAAATTCCCTTAGTTTGTAGCACCTCAGTCACACTATTACAGGTATAAAATGTGATATACAACTACCTAACTATATACTAATAATATACTATACACTATAGTCATATACTAACTATATAATGCTATCACAACATATTAAAATATATATTTCTTAAAAAACGCAGGTAAAAATACAAATTACGTACAAGGGAAACGGCAAAAACAGAATAAGTGCCCTAACACGGACAAGGAAAATCAGGGCTAGGAACTCCAGCTTGTGCCTGGTGTCAGCCCACGCCACCTGAGGATGGGCAGCCAGGGCACTGGGCTCTCAGCAGGATGAGGATTTCAGCCAACTGCCACAGCACGTCCACAATTCCTTTGTCTGCATGCTAAAATCTAAGCAAACCCATGAGACAGATGTTAAGCAACAACCCAAGTCGCCACTTTCTGCAGCCTTCTTTGCTTCCCATTTTTAAATTATGCCCAATGTCATGAACCCTCCTATACCCCAAAACCACGGGAAGCAGTTTGTGACCCAGTAAGCTCCTTAGCGTGTCACATTGGTAGTGTGCATTTTCAAAACTTATCTTCAAAGCTATTCGCAAGCAGCCTCCCTATATTTAAATAATGCTTCATCCTAAACTGAGCTAAACTACAGACACCATGAAATGCCAACAGATGGTTGAATTGTGTTTCCATAGCAAAGTAATTTACAATAATTGCCGTATGGACGTAAATGCAATTTTCCATTATATTCATTTTATCAAGTGTTACCATACAACTCTCATGTATTTTATCAGAATACGTGGCAAATATCTGAATTTTCATGCAATAATCATTCTCAATTAGTTCAAACATATTTAAGCTTCAAATCTGAATTTGACACAAAAGCAGAAATATCTAAGACCAAATTAAAATTAAATCTTTTCAAGGAGCACACTATGTAGTACCATTGTTTTTGTAGGAACCTGAGACTTTAGTTTTTTGTTTTCAATGGGAGCGTTTACTTATTATTTTGGACTTCAGTAATTCAGAGTACACTTTCCATGTCATTCTAAAGACATCTCATACTCTTCCCTCTGGACCTTTCCAATGTATTTTACTATTTTTACGGGGAAAAAACCCATCCCCAAGACTCCCTAGCTTAGAACAGTCATTATAAAAAAGGGAAACAACTACTCTGCTAGAAAAGGAGCCAAATTATTTTAAATTTATGGTAAATAAAATACTCTTTATTAGAGAAGGCTTGGGCATAGCTGGAATAATATTTTTTTTTGTGTGTGTGTAGAAAAAAGAAGTTACTGCATTTAATTATCCTTAGACAACAAGCTTACATATTCAGGCAAAAAAAAAGAAAAAAAGTTTGTTTTCTTTACTATCTTCCTTGCTAGCTCTTCAGTTACTAATAACCTTTTATAACTACTGAGAACCAGATCCACTAATAAACAGGACTGGATAGCACTAAATAACGTTAAGCAAGCCACTACTTAACACACTGTGCTAAAATACTTCCCATATAACAAATTCTCATTAAAGTAAGCCAGTCATAATGATGGTCGTTACACAGAATTACAGACTATAACATCGATTGAATTTAGTGTACTGACAAGGAAAAAAGTGCAGAGGAGTGCAAGACATCCGAGCATTAAGCAGCTGTAGCAGTGTACGACAGACATTCCTGACAAGAAGCAGCCAATTATAGCTTAAATTTCTGGCATATAACCAGTTCTGATTAATAGTTTTCCATTACATTACAGACATATTATTAATGTATTAAAAATGTCAAGCTTTGGCAAGAACTAGTACGGCATGGTTCAGTTAGTCTGCAATATCTTCTTCTAATGAGCTTCCATTGATACAAAGAAAGATATTGACCAAAGCACATTAAGGATCATGTGCTGAGCGCTGCTGGGTTTTTTCTGATGGAGCTATACAATTTGTCTTGCTTATATTTATTCTTGCAGAGTCACTCACAATATGCACTCTACATTTCAGTGCTCTATTGCTAAGGAATATCTATTTGAATTATTCTTAAAAAAAAAAAAAAAGGTTTAGAATAACGTTTCTGAAGTTTACAGCTGTACCCTAAGCCTCTAGCTGTGGGTAACACAAAGCAATGTGGGTTTTTTTGCCCCTAGTAACGCCTGTGCATTTGACTTTCCAAAAAGGTAATCAAACAAATCAGGAATAACTAATGCCCTGATCCCCTCCACCCTGCAGTGCTTTGCTAGTTGCACACCCTGGGTGTTGGGGGGCCATGGAGGTGACAAAGAGGGATCAGCTTCCCTGCTGACTGAGAGCGAGGGAACGGCAAACTGCTGGAAGGACTTTAGCTAATGTATGCAAAGCCTCCAGTGCACAATGCTCCTGGAGATCTCCTTTGTGGAGCAACAGCGGTATGAACTGCAGGACGTTTTGGGCCTTGAACATTCCCATGTGCCACAGCCTCTGCAATATGGAAAACATTGGGAGGCACCTGGGAGGCAACGGTGCAGAAGGCCACATCTGCTGCCTCTATGTTCCCCTCTAAGCACTGCTCCATCTGGGAAGTGCTGGATGTTCTGGCCACAGTGAGTATGTTACAGCCGTTTGAGAAAGAACAGCATGCAGCTGACCCCCAGACTAAAATCAGCTGTGAGGGAGCTCTGAGCACACCCATCCCTTTCCAGGTGGGGAAGTCATACCTCGCAGAGCATGCTAATTCTGCTGATGGAGCATATACCCCTTTCACAGAACAAATAAAATGTATCTTGGCAGAATCAGTGCCAGCGAAGAACTTCAGATCTCGTCAGGTGTTGGTAGCAAACACACCTCCTCTGCTTCCTTCCACCACTGTGAAAATCCACCCCCTTCCCCAGATAACTCCCTCCACACAAACCACATCGGCTGGATGCCCTGCACGAGCTCCCTGCTGGGAACTCACTGCGCAATCCATAGGGGTGGGCTCCGGGCCTTCCTCTTTGGCAAATGCAGGTACGCGAAGGAGGTGATAAAATAACGAGCCATCACCTCTCACACTGATCGTGCATTGGATCGAGTGCACCCTGCCACCACGCACGAGCAGGAATGAGAGCCAAACCCAGTGATTACAGTGCATGGCGGCCTGAGGAGAACTGGCTAAAATAACAGAGGCAGGCAAGGAGTGCTGGCTGTCACCTCCCAACACCGCCAGCTGCAGAACAGATTTTTCCAAAAGGAAACATGTTTCAAGTTTGTTATCTCTAACAGTTTCAGCGGATGAATGTATCCAACAAGCCCAAGTAAAAAGCTCCTTTGTGTCCACTCCAGGTATTAATTATTTAAAGTAGGTTTAGAACATAGGAAATAATGTGTATTACAAAACAGAACTAACTGTCATGCAACTTACATTTAACAAAGTGTTTTTTACCTAGGCTACACCTAGGCAACTTGAGAACCTGGTACGTATTCAAACTGACCCCTTTCATAAATGCAAAATCACTCATCTATGCAAAGAAGGAGGGCACCTGTATTTAACAATATACATTATTTCTGTCAATACTTGTATGAAATGCAGCATAGTCAAACAATTGCTTTGATGTCTTTAGACTCAAATGCTGCTCCAAACAAAGTTTATGTTCTATTATCCAGCTTATTTAACTATTTAGCAGAGAAAAGTTTCTTTGCCTCAGGAGAAATTTAAAATGTCAATACTTATTGGCTGAAGAAAAGAAAATACAGCATTCTGCTACCAAAAAACTGGGATTCCGCACTATATTTGAAATACTTTTGGTTTTCCCACATTATTTTTTGCTGAGTGACACATCATACTACCACTGCTACTACTTGCCAGGTATCATCAGCTGTCAGCATACGGAGTAAAATGCACTTCAGCTATTTAAGTTTTAGAGCCTTAGTACACGTAGCTGCTTTTTTTCCTCCAGAATCTTTATGATGGGGGCTTACTGTCTTCAATATCTCTGTACCTAGCATCAGTCTGTTCTGCAACTATTTCCTCTGGGAATTTAAGTTAGCATTTGGAGCAGTTAGTTTCTTTTTTAATTATTATTATTTTTCACCCTCAATAAGGTAATACATGCTCCTCACACAGTGTATCCAGGGTACAAGGGCTACCAAGCTTTCAAGTTAGGATGTGAGCTGGTGACTTTCTAACTGAAAGTTCTTAACCTCAAAAATGAATGCCTACTGGTCAATGAATTTGTTCTATTCCTATATTTTACATACGTAGCTAGAAAGTTGGTGCCATTTCTTATCAGCGTCAGAGGGCTGAGGGTCGATGGCAAAGTTCAGAACTCCGTCCGACTATCGCCGCTAACTGCTGGAAACTCTCTGGTGATCGTTCTTTCAAGGTCCAAAAATATGCCAGAAATCAAAGTTTATTTTTTTCCACATTAAAAACCCAAACCAAAACAAGCCCCCCCCCCCAAAAAAAAAACAGCAAAAAAAACAAGCCAGGGGAAGCTCTCCTGTGGTTTTATTCCCTTTGACGGGCTTTCCAGGCCACAGCTGCTCATCCTCAACCGCATTGTCCCTAGGCAAGACAGTGATTTATTCCCTCTTTAAAAGCATCTCCACGGCTTGTTCCACTCACTGTCTCCGATAACATCTCTGCAGAAGTGAGGCTGGCTCCTACCATATCAGATGCGGAATATTGAAAAGTTGATTGCAGAACAATAAAAGTATATTCAGCAGAGGCCAAAAACGCAAATGCATCAACTTTGAGAGTATAAAAGCATCTGTTTTATCGGGTTCAGCCGATCTGCGCTGCTCACCGCCATGCGGGGTTTCTTTGGGGGTTCTGCGTGCATGTGAATGTTTAGGAAAGCCGCCTGCAGTTTCCGAAGCAAAGGAGCAACTGTTTCCAGGCTGGGTACCAGTGACCTGCCCGCCGCTCCTCGCCGGCGGGGCGATGCCCTGCGCCGCCGCCGCCGTCCCCGCCTTCTGCGCACCGGGACCGCCGCTCTCCCCCGGCCCCCGCGCGGGTGAATCCGCGCTGCGGGGCGGGCGCCGCGCGAGGGACGCGCCCCTCCCTCAGGGCTCCCGCTCCCTCGGAGCTCTCCCACAGCCCGCGACCCTTCAAAACCCGGCCCGGTCCGAGCTCCGGCCCCGGCGGAGGAGGCACCGCGCAGGTACCGCCCCGACCAGCCCCGGCCCCCGCCGCGCTCCGCTCCGCGCGGGCGGCAGGGGGCGCGCGGCCCGCGCCGATCCGCCCTCGGTCGGCGGCCGGAGCCCCGCGGGGGGACCTCGCACACACCCCTCGCACACGCACCGGCCTCTCCGCGCCGCGCTGGCCCCCCGCCCCATCGCGCCCCGGGGCGGCGGGCGGGCGGTACTCACCCTGCGGGCTTGGGCTGCCCGAGCCTCACCGCGGGGCGGCGCGGAGCCGCCGCGGCGCCGGAACGCACTGGGGCTCCCTCGGCGGCGGCATGAGGGGCCGCGGGGCGGGCGGGGCGGGGGTGCTCCTCC